AAAATAAAAAGATTGGAATTGGTAAAAGCAAAAAGAAAATAAAAAGGTTGGAATTGGTAAAAGCAAAAAGAAAATAAAAAAGCTAGAGTTGGTAAAAGCAAAAAGAAAATAAAATAATGCGCCGCTGCCGGGGATCGAACCCGGGTCACCCGCGTGACAGGCGGGAATACTCACCACTATACTACAACGACCTGACGAGAAGTTGTGTCATATAAAATATATTATTGCCTTTTGGTAACTTGAAAAGGCTCGTGAGAAATATTGTTAGCAAGGCCTAATCATCCTTCAACATCTCCGGCATTCTTCATCTCAGGTTTGGAAGGCTTCTCTTTCTCTTTCTTTTTCTCTTTCTAGCCTTACATAATTTGGTTGTCCAAAGAAGCATTGCCAGGTTTGGATTGGTCGGGTGGATGGTTCACCTCATATATTTGTATCGGATCGTTGATCTAGACAGGTTGAGACTGGTGATCTAAAAAATATTAAAATAAATAAAAATAAAATAAAAAAGTGAGGTGGTGATGTAGGCAGATTTGAAAAAATATTTGATAAGCTTAAATAAATGAATAAATAAAAACTACCCATATTGAAACCGGGTAAGGGTTGATGCCATCTTGGAGCGATTCCCATATTAACGACCGATATCGAAAATCGCTGGTTCTAAAACTTTGGTCCAAAAAATGCTAACCACTACTGAAATAATAACGACAAAGAAAAATAGAGGAGAAATGAAAATTTCATGTTATCATTTTGCCAAACAACCTTTTGTTCTCAAATCAAGTCAAATAAAAGGAAAGCATTTGGTGAGACTGACAACTGATGTGTCTTTCATAGTTTTTAAAAGGGTTACACCTCATATTCATGCAATTGGAGGTCTAAAAAAGATGCAGATCTAATGATATTTTAAGAATTAAAATCAACGGTCCAAAAAAAATCTACAACATGCAAGGGCTTCAAATGTTTTTTTTTTTTTTTCAAATTCCTGATCGTGGTGGACTAAATGATACACCTGCAATATTTGAGATTCAAAATTCATAACCAAGAATTTTCAAAGAGCTGACTCACTATAACAAGTGCTTCCCTACACATATCTAAATCCTGCTCAGCTCTAAGTTCAAGTAAGTGGCATTATTTCTTCTTCTTTTTTTATGTATCTCTCTATGATATCAAGACTTATTTTATAGGAAAAATTTATCAATATAAACCTAAAACATGATAAATGTTAAAATTCTATTTTATGGGCAATTTGAAATTTGTCAAAATTATGATGGCCTATTTGAAATTAGACCAAAACATATAGTAAGATGTTAAATATTAAAAATCTTAAATGCAATTTAATAAATTTCCCCTTTTTATATAAATACAACGGACATTGAAAAAAAAAAATCAACAAAAAGAATGGACATTTTTTATTTTAAAGAAATTTCCTTTCTATTGTCTACTTTTTTTTCATATTTTTCTTTTTTTCTCTTTCTCACTCCAATTTTTTTTTGTTTTTGGTAAACGATGATAATTTAATTAAAGTGGGATCCTATTTGTAAATCATTTTCCTACCTTTGCACTTAGCGTTTGTTCGAGCCACCCCACCCAACCATTGTTGCACCTACGCGGTTCTGGTGTCTATGAGGATCTTAAAACCAACCCATGAACCAAAGCTCGGGAATGGGGTTGGGGCATCAGTGGTTAAGGGGGCACCCAACCATTGTTGCACCTACGCGGTTCTGGTGTCTATGAGGATCTTAAAACCAACCCATGAACCAAAGCTCGGGAATGGGGTTGGGGCATCAGTGGTTAAGGGGGCTGATGTCTCAACATAACATCCCACCCCAAATTGCCACGGTTAACACGTATCAGTGGTTAAGGGGCTGATGTCTCGACATAACATCCCACCTCTAATTCCCACGGTTAACAAAAACAAGAAAACAAAAAAACACAGAAGAAGAAGAGCGATGGCTCCAAATTCAAGAGTAGGACTCGTTTATAGTAGGAATAATGATTCCTGTGTAATTCTAGAATAGTTAAAAATGAAATAAGATACTTGAGGTTATATCTAACATTTGGAAAAATATCAAAGTACTGTCAAAGTAAAAAATTATCAAAATAGCCATGAGATATGAATAGTTAAACACTTTACCATATCTTTCGATTTAATTTCGAAGGGCCCATACAAAAGCGCATCGTATTGAGTAGGAGTAATTCCAAATAGGTAAAATGTTGAAAAGTCCATGGTCTTTTGAGAATGCTGCCGATCTCGATGGACATTGTATATAGTTGACCGTTGTAGCAAATTGCCGACACCAACTTTCTAATCATGGGTGGTCTATTTTCTATATTTTTTGTGAGGCCAATATGGTGGCTGTCACTCTTTCAGAGAGGGCCACAATCTGATCTGAAGCCACAGTTTAGCACTCTCGTCAATCGGATTTTCTTTCCCTTGCTTTAACTCATAATCTGGCACAATTTTCATATTATAGAGTTGTAAAATAATGAGTTGTAACGTCTTTTTATTTTCTCATATTAATGAAAAACCGATAGGGGCCTTCTCCCCACTTATTCTTATGGGTATTTAGATAAAGTTTTCATTTCCAACATTGGTTGCTCATGCTCAAATAGGCGATTCTGAATTTCCTCAAAGGGAGAGGCCGGGGACGGGGGCGGGGGTTTCAAAAGACCATGGACCTTTCAACATTTTACCTATTTGGAATTATTCCTACTCAAGATGATACGTTTTTGTATGAGCCTGTGAAAATTAAATCAAAATAATTTTTTATTTTGACAATACTTCGATATTTTTCCAAATTTTAGATATAACTTCAAGTATCTTTTTTCAGTTTTAACTTTTAACTATTCTAGAATTTCACAGGAATTATTATTCGTGCTAAAGAGATAAAGTTAAAGTACACTTTATGTTAACAAAAAAAAGAAGAAGAAAAGGAATTGATTGTAAAATATGACATATATAAAACTATCTTTACATATCAAAACTATAATTTTCCCCAAAAACAAACAATTCCCTTTGGAATTGGATGAGTTAGCCGAGTTTGAACTGGAAGCTTCAGATTTGAGTCTTTTGACAAAATTTAAAACCATGTTTGACGTTATGCTATTCGGAAAGTACGATAAAGCCGCAAAACACATGGACCCGTATGCTCTTTAACACAGCCCAAGCATCGAGCATCTGTTGTAAGGATGGACGGCAGTGGTGCCAGTTTATTCACAGTTTCTTCCTAATTTTGATGAGAGCCTTTAAAGGCCTCAAATCAGATTGCAGAATAAACTAGTGTTAAAAAAAATTTCAAAAAATAAGAAAAAGATATTTGAGGTAAAATTAAACAAAACACGTCTAGATGAGGTTAAAAAAATATTGAAAACTAAATTTTCAAAAAAATCAATGTGTGATGGGGGTGATTTAGAAATAATTTTAAAAGAAGGACAAAGGAAAACTAAAACCAATATATGAGTCGGGAGATGCATTTATACATTTGCATCCCCCGAGGTATTAAAGTTTTGGTCCCTCCTAAAGGAATATAATTTACCAGTCAAAAATTTTCTCTAGAAAATTATCTTTTTAACTTTTATTTTTTTTTCTTTTTTATGTATTAATGATCTCCATGTTAGAGACTGTGCATTTAAAGTCCAAAGGCCATCTAGAAAATAGATCAAAAAGAACGGCCGCATGACAACATGCGAGTCCTAGGATTGACTCATAAAAGGGTGAGGTTTGTATAAGGTTCCCCCTTTATACAAGAGAAGGAAGGCACACATCTAAAACTTGTTTGGGATGTCGTAGACTTTATGATGGATTGAAAATATAATGTATCCATGGTTCTAGAATTTAAAATTTTAATAATGTTACCAATCAGATCTATAGATATTAAAAAATCTTGAAAATAGTCGGTCTACATAAATTGCTACAATATGTATTATTCTTTGAATTTGAAATTCTTTTTTTTTCTTCATACCACATATCTTGAGGTCGAGAAGATCAAAAATCAATATGTATTATTTTTAGAATTTGAAATTCTTTTTGTTTCTTCATACCACATATCTTGAGGTCGAGAAGATCAAAAATCTTGAAAATAATCGGTCTACGTAAATTGCTACAATATGTATTATTTTTAAAATTTGAAATTCTTTTTTTTTCTTCATACCACATATCTTGAGGTCGAGATGATCAATTGGAAGGTTCTCCAACATCAAAACACTTTCTTATAAAGGACTTTTGAATTGCACCTTACTTCAATAGTATAAGATTAGAACCTTATATAAACTTTTTCCTTCATAGATACATTATCCAAATGTAAAAATAAAATAAATATTCATAGCCAAAACACTTTCCAATCTTCATCATCTTTGCCAAAATGATAAAAAAACATAAAAAAATAATAAAAAACATTACAAATAAATTTCTTATATTTTGATGTTCTTTTTATAAAAAATTTATAATACCAAGTTGAACCACCCAGCTCAGAGACGCTCAAACTTGGCAAAGTTACGAGTTCGAGTAACTCGAGTGAATCCGATTTCGATTGGGCTCCCCCGAGCTTTTCTGGAATAAACGTAAAGCCCCGATCCCCACCAAATAATAACGGATATAAAGCGTGACGCGAGAAGAGGGAGAGCGGAGAGAGAGCACAAAACTAATAGCGACGACCCTCATGATATGAAGCAAAACACCAAGGCTTTTGTAATCAGGAACCTGTAGATTACAAAGAGCAAAACCTAGCGAATTCTTGAACTCTTGTTAAACAAATTTTTTAACATCTATCAAACCCCAACAGGGCAATCCGCCACACGAGAAAATTCGGGTCTGGGTCCCATATCATTTTTTGGGTCTGGATCTGGCCGGACCCAACCGCGACCAGATGAACCAAAAGATCAACTACCAAATCACAATCAAATAGCCCGTCATCACCAAAACATCCAAAAACCACCATAACACTTCCTCAGGACTCAGAGGGCGTGAAAGAGAGCCCCTACCAAATGCAAGCTCGCGCAAAACATTAGAAACCAAAATATAGGGTAACACAATCGCATAGAATCATTCCACATATTTGGCTTACATACTACATACTAAACATTCCTTTCCCACAATCTACATATTAGAAGACAACAAATTCTTATACCACACCAATACAAAAAAGCCACCCACCACATTCGAAACAAAATAAAAGAGAGAGGGACATAGCAAGAATTATAGAGAGAGTGCGAGTGCTAAGAAGCCGCACTTACCCCATCAAGCTGCCTCCTCTTCTTCCTCCTCATATTCCTCCTCATCATCAGCAGTAGCATCTTGATATTGCTGATACTCCGAAACCAAATCATTCATATTACTCTCCGCCTCGGTAAACTCCATCTCGTCCATCCCTTCACCAGTGTACCAGTGCAAGAAAGCCTTCCTCCTAAACATAGCGGTAAATTGTTCGCTAACCCTCCTAAACATCTCTTGGATCGAAGTCGAGTTCCCAATAAAAGTTGAGGCCATCTTCAACCCCTTTGGTGGAATATCGCAAACACTTGACTTTGCATTGTTGGGTATCCACTCAACAAAGTAGGAGGAGTTCTTGTTTTGGACATTGATCATTTGTTCATCGACTTCCTTTGTGGACATCTTGCCTCTAAACATAGCCGAGGCAGTGAGGTAGCGGCCATGACGAGGGTCGGCAGCGCACATCATGTTTTTGGAGTCCCACATTTGTTGGGTGAGTTCAGGGACAGTCAGGGCACGGTATTGCTGGGAGCCACGAGATGTGAGGGGGGCAAAGCCAACCATGAAGAAGTGGAGGCGGGGGAAGGGGATCAGGTTGACGGCGAGCTTGCGGAGGTCGGAGTTGAGCTGCCCCGGGAAACGAAGGCAGCAGGTCACGCCTGACATAGTGGCTGAGATCAGGTGGTTCAGGTCACCGACTGGTGGATATAGACAACAAGCGAGTTGTTAGGGGAAGAAGAAAAGATGGGGGGGGGAGGAGAAAGAGAGAGTATTTTGGGGAAAATGCCACTATTTATTTGTGGTTTGATTGTTCTCTTTGGGGTGGAGGGAATGCATATATAGAAGATAGTCAGGGGTTTTGACGAGGGCGTTAAGCGAATGGCTGACGTAATTAACAAGTTATGAAGCTAAACTGTGTTTTAACAAAATAGGTTTCTAAAATGTTCTAAAGATCCTCATCATACAAGGGTACTGAAAGAATGATTGAAAAGTTATGTGCCAAAGATCAGTGGATGTTTATGTATATTTGAGAAACACCATGACCAAGATATTGATGAGGACACTGTCCAAATTAGTATTTCCTATTGAATATAAATCCCTCTAGGCATCAGAACATGTTAGAAGCCAGGTAGTTCAATTTGCCAGTGAAATCTTATTGGAGAAAAGAGGTTACCCGGTGAATGATAAAATATATTCGAACAAGAAAGACAAAATTTACAGAAATTCAATTTTTTTCCCACAGAAAAAGGTATACTTACTGATAACAAACAAGCCACATAAGTCTAAAAACAGACTCAAAGACCTAGAAAAAAAATGTCTCAAAAACTAGAAAAAGACTCACTTTCATTTTCTTTTCCTTCATTTATACATTTCCCCAATAACCTTGATTCTCAAGAGAAAAAACAGCAAAAGCAGAGGCGGCAGCCACTTACAAGTAGGAGTTGCCAGCTTGAGGGTTCGGAAGCAGATATCATATAGGGCTTCATTGTCAAGGACCATGCACTCATCTGCATTCTCAACAAGCTGATGGACCGATAGGGTAGCATTATAGGGCTCAACCACAGTGTCTGAGACCTTTGGTGAGGGGAAAACAGAGAAGGTGAGCATCATTCGATCAGGGTATTCCTCCCTGATTTTTGAGATGAGGAGAGTTCCCATTCCAGATCCAGTGCCACCACCCAAAGAATGACATACTTGAAATCCTGTTAAGAACATTTCATTGCAACGATAAAAAACAAAGTCGTTTCCTTTAATGTAGGTGCATATAATGAGATTACAAATCCCTCAAAGAAAAACAAATGGACTTTAATTTGATAAGAAACCCAAATTCATTTATGCAGGTAGATCCATAAGCGTGCAGGAGGCCATGAACTCAGAATAAACTCTAATTATCTAAAGATGGTATGGAGATCAACCTCAAATAAGAGATAGTTAGCATTTATCAGACGCATTTGCCTTTTCTAAGATAGTTCAGCACGTTACGCACCTCAGCCATTTTTCAAAAACATTGTCTTGAAATACTACACAACAATAATATTCAACACCCAATGACACCTTCAGTTCCACCTCTTTTCCTTAGACCAAAGACCCCCAAACAGTTCGAGCGATCTAAATCTTTAAATGTCGAAACGCTAGTAATTTATGAGCTCTCACACATGTTCCTCATGTTCAACACAAACTTCCTGCTAATCCAAGAATCATTTAAAAGCTTATATAACCTAGCAAGATTTTAAGTATTAATAAACACAAATACTTCCAAAGGACTATTCTTCATATGCCAATTAACTTCAGTTATTTTAAGTTATCACTCACAAAACTTAGGAAGGGATATATAAACCCAGTGACCATTTTCTTGAACATACCAAACTAATAAATTCACTTGTTCTACTTTCATTCCAAACCATTTTCAGAATTTTTCACTTTTGCTGAAATGAACAATAGTTAAGGGTGCGGTTTGTATAGAGCGAGGCTCTAAACAATCAAAGCAAAGTGCACCTTCAAATAGTGTCAAGAAATGTGATTTCAATACTGAAAATCTTTGCAATAGCCTTAAAATATATTTTCATTTCTAATTATAAAATTTAAAGCTTAAAAAATAATGCAGATCGAGCAGATCTATGAAACTTGAAAATCTTGAAAATTGACGGTCCAAAAATGCTTTACAAGATGCACTATTTCCAAAACTTGTAATCCATTTTTTTCCAATGTCCATGCATCTTGATGTCGAGATAATCGATTTGAGGATATTTGAGTATCAAAAAATCGCTTCTAGTGAAATTTTTTAGGTGGGCTCTAATTTGATTGTTTAGAGCCTTGACTCCATATAAACTTGTTCCATAGTTTAAATAAGAATTTAACACCAAGTAACATGCAAGTTGGCACATAGAAGAACAAAATGCGGAAATTATGTTTCTTTTTTTATTGTTTTTAAAGCTTTACCATTAGCAATTATAATTAAATGAATAATATAAAGATTTGTAAATGAGTAAATATACAAATATATGACTTTTTTAAACAAGAAAATTCATGACGTAATATAACGACTTCATGATTTTTGAAATTAAATAATATTCCAGTCACATGCATTGCACTAAAAATTCAAAAACTTTAAGAGTAATAAGAAGAGAATAAAATAGCACTCTCTAATCATAGAAAATCAATGGAAGTTTTTCATTCGATAAAGAGGCACATATGCATCAGGTAACATATGAAGAAGTATCATGTAATCATCTTAAAAGAAGATCGAAAAGCATGACCAACAAAGGATATTATTCAAATGAAGTAATAACATAGAATTGCTACATTTTGGGCATATATATTAGATCTTCCTCATCAAGAAATAAGGAAAAAATTTAACTCCAACAAAATTTGTAAAACAAGGACAGGCAGACAATTCTCAAGTATTGTCACAGAATAAATAATAAATTTAAGGGAAATTTATCAAAAAACCTATTGGCGAAATACGTTTAACTTTATCAAATACCTATGAGAGATGAAGTATTTAACATTTAGACCCGCATATGTAGAAATGCGGGCCTATTAATAAATCTATTTTTGAGATACTTTTTTGGACTTAATTTTTAAGGACACAGTCTCTAACATGGAGATCATAAATATGAAAAAATAAGTAAATTTTAAAAACTAGAAATAATAATTCTAGTAAGAAAACATTTGGATTTAGATGGATCAGCTACTTGCATCCATCTTTAATATGGGCGCTTTACACTTTTTGGACCACATATGTAGGCATGCGGCCTAGCCCACATGAAACCATTTTCCTTTACTTTTTACTCATATAGATTGATTTAATTTCAAAATACCCATCAAATGCACATGATGATGAGTTGGTATAGTGGCAAATGTGTAAAATGTTAAATAGCATATCTCCCATGGGTATTTGATAGATTTCCCTAAATTTAACACACTGATATAGAACAAGGACAGGCAGACAATGCTCAAGTATTGTGACAGAAGCAGGAACATGAATGTTATCATTAACTTTATATTATATGTTCAGGCATCAGAGCTCCAACAGGTAAGAGTTTCAAAAAAGGGTTTAAGAAAAAATTAAAAGCAGATACAAATCAGATCCCTACTTGAAAGGAAAGGACCGAACATGCAACATGAATACACATTAAAGCAGTGGTGAGCTTTCATATAAGCATAATTATATCAATTACCATATTATAGAAACAAATAATGAAATATAACAACCAAGGGAACTTCAGAAATGAAAGAAACAACCAGATCCACCTTAAAATTTTAATATAAAGCCAGCATTCTGTCTAAATGTGTAATGCACCCTTTTCTTTTTCTTTTCTTCCTTTTGGATCAGGAACAGATGAAAGACAAACCTCCTAATGTACATGCATCAAAAAACCTCTCACAAGTAGACTTTAAAAGACAAAAAAAAAAAACCAGATCTGACGTCATCACCATATAGGCCATCAAACAACAAGAAGATTAAAAATAAAAAGAAATACAAGTATAATTACTATCACACCATGTAATTCAGACCAGAAAAATGTAGATAATTCAGAGAACTAATCTCCAACCCAGGTCAACACTAAACGAAACAGTAACAAAATATTCGTACTGATAACAACTAAACAAAAACATCAGCGATAGAAATGAATGACCATCAATGCTAACATAATGAAAACACATTACAGCAATACAACCCGCACTAAACAAAAAAGTAATACAATGCACCAATTTAGCACCAAATAGGATAACATCAACAATAAAAACAACATAATTACCACAGATCACCACAAAAAGAAGAACACAATCAGTGAAAAAACCTCTATATTATTATCATCACCATCAATGAAATTATTACTGCCAGTGTAATTATTTACCTTGAAGGCAATCACAGTTCTCAGCCTCCTTCCTGACCACATCGAGCACTGAGTCGATCAGCTCCGCTCCCTCTGTGTAGTGCCCCTTAGCCCAGTTGTTTCCAGCCCCTGATTGCCCAAAAACGAAGTTATCAGGCCTGAAGATCTGGCCAAAAGGCCCAGATCTAACGCTATCCATGGTCCCCGGTTCCAGATCCATGAGCACTGCTCTGGGAACATAGCGACCACCACTGGCCTCATTGTAATACACATTGATCCTCTCTAATTGCAGTTCCGAATCTCCACTGTAGTTTCCTGTGTGATCAATGCCATGTTCATCACAGATCACTTCCCAAAACTTGGCACCAATCTGGTTACCACACTGCCCACCTTGAATGTGAAGGATCTCTCTCATTTTCTCCTTTTGATCAGTAATTAAGGGGTCTCTGGCTTTAAAATGAGGTTTCTGGCTCGGATCTGAGATTTTTGCACTGAAACTGGTGCTTAACGAGGGAATTTTGATAGGAAAATCAAGATTTAGATTTTTCTTGGCTGAAAATGGAGATCTAAAATGTGCAGTATGGAAGAGGAAATAGAGTTATAGGCAGTAGAATACGGTTTTGGCCGTAAAGTGGACAAATTGAAAAGGAGATCTGGGATTTTAGCTTCAAGTTTTGAGAATGAGGCGGCTGAACCAATCTTTTGAACGGAAAATCAGGGCTTTAATGGCCGGCGATTAGAGTTTCCGCCGAAGAACCGGTGCGACGGGGCGGGAAAATAGTCGGGATATGTGAGGCGAACAGGAAGAACAGTACAATAAATATCGCAATAGGGTTTATTTATAGGGAGCGAAAAGGACGAAACTACCATTGATTCCCTGACAAAATTACGTGGAAGGATATAATATTTTAAATTTTAAATTTCTTTGGGTGGAGGGCCGGTTTTCAAGATAACGAGTTAACGACGCAAATGCCCCTTTGAAGTTCGAAAACCAAATAGCCTCTTCGTGCAACTTTATATAAGGTTGTAGCCTTAAACATCAAATTAAGCCGCATCTTCAAATTTTATCATAAATATAATTTTGGTGTTAAAATATTTTAGGGTGTGGTTTGTATAAAGTTATAAACTTAAACATCAAATTAAGGCGATCTACAAATTTTATCATCAATATAATTTTGGTGTTAAAAATTTTTAGGATGATTTGATAATCTATTTTCATCACTAAATATAAAATCTTAAATTCCAAAAATAATTTAAATGAAGTAGGTCTATAAATACTTGAAAATACACGATTTAAATAGTTTGTTACAAGATACACCATTCTTTGAACTCAATTTCTTTTTTTCTTTTCATATTCATAAATTTTGATTTTGAGATGATCAATTAGAGGGTTAAAAAACTTCAAAACGACCTTCTTTAATGGATTTTTGAAGTGCATCTTAATTCTACATTTTAAGATTGCTGCCTTATATAATTTTGACTTACCCAAAAAAAAAAATTCTTATATAATTTTTTTCTAACTTAAAAAAACACGAGAAATCTTCCTTTCTCCAAATCATTTTTAGTTGAAAATGGGCCAGGTCCGCGCCTGAGTTGGACCTGGGCACGGATCCAACCCAATTAGGGTCAAGGTCAAGTGAACTCAAGCCTAGGTCCATTAGCTGGGTCCAGACCCTGAGCCCTTGCCCGTTTCCCACCCCTAGTCCCTTATTTCTTTGTCAAGGGTAGTTTAGGGGAATGTTCGGATTTAACCAAAAGTTCCAAATATGCGAGTCTCCAGTCACTTTGAAGTTCGAAATCTTACAACGCTCCTAGTGTGATCGCAAAAGAAGATATTATTATGAAGATAGGGATGATAACCATTGGCATATCTTAATTTTTAAATATTGAAAAGGTCATCGTAGGATGATTTCTAACATAATTATTAAGATCCGACTTAATTGGGTTGTATTGTCGATCACTATTTTGATCAGTCTAGTCTAAAGCGAAAATTTGTTAAAAAATAAGTCAAAATTAATGTTTTTCTTATTTTAGTAAAGTTTGATTAGTCAGTTTTAATGGGCTAAACCAATTAAACAAAGTTATACTTTATTTGTAATACATTTTATGTTTTCAAAATTATTGTTGGTAGTTTTCTTTATAAAATCGGGTCGAAATAGATCAACCAGCAATTTAAGCAATTTTTTATTGTACTTGGTGACTAGTTTGATCCTGATACTACTTCTTTTTAAAATCGCGACTCAAATGTCACCAGAAATTGTTGTCTAATAATAGAAAACTATTGAAGTGATTATTTTGACCTCAACAATTAATGATCTAAAAAAAAGCTTTTGGACGTCAAAATAGTATATCCCACTACATTATTTGGACTATTTATTATGCTGCATATTTGGGTAAGTTTGGAAATATCGAATTTCATAAATTGGGTTGAAAATAAATTTTCAAGCCTCATAGGAGGTTTGGTGCCGAACCACTTTTTCCCATGGGGTTAAGAAGTCTGGATTTATTTTTATACAGCCCAGGTCCTATGGCAACCATACCCAAAAATATAGATTCGGGGTCGCTATATGATCCCATGGAGAAAGTATATAGTATCATTGTGGCCTTGTAAAGCCATACCTCAAAATTCGATAGAAAATGTAGTTCAGCCCTAAAAAATTTACAAATTGATCATCTTGATCTTGACAATCATAGATATGAAAACTTTGAAAATGGTATCTCTTGTAACATATTTTAAAGATCATCTATTTCAATTATTCATAAATTAACTAGATGTGTACAATTTTGGAGCTTCAAGTTCTATAGCCACAGACAATAGAGATATCTAAGCCATCTCAAATGTTCCCAATGTTAGAATGTATTTCGTTTAGGTCTCAAGGTCCGACTTTGCTAATTATCATAAAGCCACATGCCCTAAAAAATTAGACCATTGTTTTCTGAGAAATTATCAAATTGCACCTAAAAGTTGTACTATGCAGTATCTCATCCTATCTTTTTTTCTAATCTCAAATAGCAAATTATTATTTTGATAAAAATTCAAATAGCCCATCAAATAATACATTGATACAGGATTTGAAATTTATCAAATCACAACTAGAATGAAATGTTAAATAGCCCAACTTTTGAGCATGAACTGATGAATTTCCCTTTTTTTCTCTCAATCCATAGTTTGCAATCCACAATTAGTCCACAAGTGGCTTCTACTTCTTAACAATAAGCATGAGAGTGTCTCTCTACTATTTTTCCTTTAATCATTTCTTTTAGGGAAAGGTCTTCATGTGGAAAGTGTATACTATAATCAATATATATGAGAATGATAGGTACAATATCTTGTATTTTATGGTAAATCTGGCTATAGTATAAATGCATATGATTTATTTCTATTATTATGATTTATATTTGTCTATTTAAGACAAGCATGTATATTTGATTAATACTGAATATCTTCAGATAAACCTGAGAGTCTTTATACTTTCCATGTGGGCCTTCTTCCTTTTGGCTTATTTCATCTTAATCACTATCAATGAAACATATTCTCCGTCCCATATGTTTTCCCTTAGTTTTTCTTTTCCCTCTTTTTGTTTCCTATTCATTCACAGTTGTAGATTTGGTTTCTTTGACATACTTGCATGATAAGGCAGAATGTGCCAGCAATATACCCATAAGAACATGGGTATGTGGCACAAATGACTCCCTTGAGACCCACATGGACCCTACAGAACATGTCTAAGTTCCCCTTGAGACTATCTTAGGACCCACATAGGTCTATTGCACTTATATGGGGTACTGTGGCTTATAATTTATTAGGACACCGAAGATTATTATCTTAAAACTTCTTTTCCCAGTATCTCTTTAGTGTCCTCATTGAAAACCTGCTCTATTTGATCTTTTCAACTTATTACCTTTCGAAGATTGTGTATTGACATTATTAGCATATTCTTTGATGGCATCCAAGTTGGTTGTCTCAAAGGCATGAAGTGGCATAGCTTATAGTTTTCTAGTACTAAATGTGTTCCATTAGAATTAACAAAGCCATGTTTGGAACCCTCAATGCAGCCAAATCTCTCTCTCTCTCTCTCTCTCTCTCTCTCTCTCTCCAACTTAACTCTAAAATGAGCCATAGAATGCTGCAACTAACTGGCCATGTCGTTCCCTCTCTCTCTCCAACTTAACTCTAAAATGAGCCATAGAATGCTGCAACTAACTGGCCATGTCGTTCCCTCAAACACTGGCTACCAAATAACAAAGGGATATGACATTTCTTTGCCAAAGAGCTGGTCTTTGGCCTGGCAAAAGGCTGGCTGGGGCCAGGGAAGGCCTGAGCCATCCCAGGCCTTGCTCTAGCCCTATCAACGTATAGCCGGGCTACAAACAAAAGAAAAAAAAAAAAAAAACAAGAAAAAATTGTGTCGGGCCGGGCCAAACCAGGTTATCCCTAACCTAGTCCAACCTAGCCCTCGAGCCATTTTTTGTAGCCCATGCTATACTTTTTTAGGGCCACCCCACCCAGCCCATTGCTAGCCCTAGGCCTGGCCTAGGGTAGTATCGATCAAGATCAATTTCAGGCAAGCCTGGGCCTGAACTATTTACGAAGGTTGTAGGGCAAGCCCGCCCTATGCGCTACGAACTAGAGCCGTTTAAAACTAGGCTTAGCCGAAAATCGTACTCCCTAGCTTGGCCCGATTGACATCCATAGATAGAGGATTACCGCTGCTTTCTTTAGAGTCATACGTGTGAGCTAAGTGAGGCATGTGCAACTTATCTTGGTGAATGGATGGATCTAAAATGACATGCAAGCCTCATACAAAATTGTACTAGTTTAGGCCATCTAGATACTTCTCTTGGCAAGGAAGTTTAGAAAGGCCATGGACCTATATGAGGGATGTTGTCACGTCACAAAGCACCTCATTCTTGTCGGTATGAGGCCTTGGTAGTGAAAGAAGAACTCTTGTGATCTAATTGGAGTTTATAATAAAAAAAAATTTATTTTTATTTTTTAAAATTCTTCAGTCTAGATTACTTACAAGTAGTCCTTTTACAAGATAATAACTTCAAATAAAATAAAAGAATACAATAGGATCTCAAGAGCTTGAAGTCATTCAAAATCTTTCTTTTAATAACAAAAAAAACACAACTTATGCTTTGGGAATAAAAGATATAATAAATAAATATGGAAGGAATAAAAGATGGTGCCGGAGATTACCTCAACTGAGCTTAGTACACCCCATGCTGAGTCTCTTCCTTCTGATGGTACTCAGGATCATTGATCAGTCTTTTGATTTCTCCTTCTTAGGCAAAACTCAAACAATGCACATGAATCTCAATTCAGAACCACCTACTTAAAGCCTCAATGCTTAGGCCTAATTCAAGCCCCTTGACATGATCCTTAAGAGAGATAAAAATCAAGAAAGGAGGGAGAAAACTCCTAGCTAGGGATGATCTATTTGCTGCCCACAAAATCATATAACTAAAACCTAGCGTGATTTAGAACCCATGAGAGAGATTCAAGCTTAACCTAACCTAGCTTGGGCATGTCCCTCTTAGAATAGTTTGTGTGAGAGAGAGCGAGGCAGGCTAAGGTGGGGTGTGGCTCCTTGGGTTTCTTGGAGAGAGAGAGAGAAAGTAACCTATGTGGGGCGTGCCCCTTAGAAAGCCTAGAGAGAGATTTTATTTTAGCGAGAGAAGAGAGAGTAAGTGGTGTAGAGACAATGGAAGAGAATGATCCTTTTTATATATTTTCATGCATTAAGGTTTGTCATAAAATCGTATGAGTAAATCTTGACTGTTGATTTAAGAAGACTCGT